TCCTCTTTTTCATTATCTTATTCTTACGTATCTTTCTTAATTTCATTTTGTTCATCTAATTCTAATTCTAATTCTTCGTATTCAAATTAAATTTCATAAATTAATTTTGAATTAATCAATTTTTTCTATTAATGTAAATTTTAAATATTTTCATTTTTATCAATCATTTATTTTTCAAACAGACCATAATTAAATTTATCATCAATATACATTTTGTGTGAAACCCATCCTAATATAACGAAGTTATCCTAGAAAAAAAATTATATTGATTAATTTAAATTACAAATAAATATATAAACATACTTCTTCAAACTATCCAAAAATAAATAGAATATATAAATCATCTAAATTATTTCCATAATTTTCTAATAAATATTACTCATCTAAATTAATTTCATTTGCTTCTTTTATATTTATTAAATCTCCATTATTATTTTAATTCAATAGTTCATATTAAAATTCGATTGGTTCTTATATTTAATCATTTATTACTGCATCTTTATAAACTATTTTTATAATGTATTATACTGTTCCATTATTTTTCATATTCTCTATTTATAGTAAATTCAAATTAAGATATTGTTTAGATAATATCTATTTTTAATTTTATTGTTCATTTACAATACCTTCTTACGATTCAGTAAAAATTTCTTAATTTATATATTATTTTTAATTTATGTTCTTTTATTCATTATTTAAATTTTCATTTTATTATTAAGAAATATTTTCTATATTTATTTATACATTTATATTTTATGTCGGAACTATTTAAAAATATTTTAAATGAATAATTATATAAAATTTTACCATTATTTTAATTTTATTATTCGGCCTAATAACTATTTAATTCATTTTATTATAAAATTTAGTTAATTTATATATCTTATTATTAAATCAATATTATAGGTTATTACTAAATTATATTCTATTATTATTATTATTAATATTATTATTATTATTATTATTATTATTATTATTATTATTATTATATTTACTAATCTATCTGCTATTTTTTTTATTCAGTTATTTCTTTTTATTCTTAATATTATATATTATCATTTTTTAAATTTATAATTATAATAATTATTAAGGTTATGCTTCAATTATTGTCTATTTATTTTATTATATATTATTATTGTTTTATTTATCTTATATTATATAATTATTTTAATTATTGTTAGATTAATTATTTAAATTTTATTGAATTATATTTTTTTATTATTCATTTTAATTTTAATTAATATAATCGTTTTTCAATTCAATATATTTATTTTCATTAAAAACTTTACTATTTTAATTTTTATTTTCAAATATACTTTATCCGTCTTAAATATTTTATTATTCCTAATTTTTGATATTTTCTATATTTACATTTAATTATTAATTATTTTCTTATTAATCAATTTATAATTTAATTTCATAAAGTATTGTTGAATTTGACAAAATTTTATTTTCTTAATAATTTTAAATTTTTTCATTTTTATCAATTAATTTGGATTTAAAAACACCTTAATTAATTTTTTTATTAATAAACAATTTATGTGAAACCCATCCTAAAACTTAAAATATATCTTGTTTTATATAATATTTTTCATATTCAAATTATAAGTTTACTTTTTAAAATTATCCAAAAATAAAAATAACATATAATTCATCTAAATAATTTTCGTATTTTTCTAATAAATATTTTTCATTTAAATCTATTTCATTTGCTTCATGAATATCTATTAAATCTCCTTTTTCATTTTATTTCAATATTTCATTTTAATACTCTATTTTTTAGCCATATATATCACTTATAACTTCATTATTATTATTAACTAATTTAATTTTGTATGTTAAAGTCCCGTTATTTTATAAATTTTCTAATTAAAATAGGTTTAAAGTAATAAATTATTTAATATTTTATAATTAATCTATATTATCTTTTTATTGATAAAAATTATTTTAAGAATTTAATTTTAAATTCTAATTATTTAATGGTTCTATTTAATAAATATTTTTATATATTATTATTATATATATTTTTACAACTATTTTCATTATATGATTAAATCTATTAATCTTTTATCTACAAAATTTAGTCTACTGGTATATCTTATTACTATAACTAAATTATTGACTATTATTATTATTTATAATTATTATTATTATTATTATTATTATTATTATTATTATTATTATTATTATTATTATTGTTATTGTTAATGTTTTTGTTATTCTTATTGTCTTTTGTTATTTTTATTCCTATTATTATTGTTATTGTTATTCTTATTCTTATTCTTATTCTTCTTATTATTAATGTTGTTTTTGTTTTTATTGTTATTATTATTATTGTTATTCTTATTATTATTATTATTGTTAATGTTGTTGTTATTTTTATTGTTATTCTAATTCTTTTTATTATTGCTATTCTTATTATTTTTAATTTTTTTCTTATTCTATTTCTTATTCTTATTACTAAATTATTTTTTATTGTTATGTTTATTATATGTTCTATTATTATATATTATTATTATTATTATTTTTATTATTATCATTATTATTATTATTAATATTATTATTATTATTATTTTATTATTCTTATTTTTATAAATTTTTATTTTTTTCTAATAACTCTTCTTTTACTTATAATTTTTCTATATTTTTTACTAAATCTTAATTAATAATAGTTTTTTTAATAAACTGTTTTAACTTTCGTCAATAATATTACTATTTGAATTTCTATAATTTTATTTACCTTATATACTATATCTACTAAATTTTCTTTTTATAAAGTATCATTGTTTTCTTCTTATTATTATTTTATTTCTTTATTATTATCATTTTTTTCATTTTATTAAATATGTTCAAATTTAATTTCATAGTATAAGTAAGAATCTGTCAATCTTTCCTATTATTGATAGTTTTAAACTTTTTCATTTTGATCAATCAATTTTGATTTAAAAATTCCTTCGTTAAATTTATTATCAATAAACAATTTGTGTGGCACCCATTTTAAAATTACAAATTAATCCTTAAATAAAAAATATGTCTTATTATTATGTTATATAAAAACTTACTTTTTAGAATTATCCAAAAATAAATTAGAGATATAAATCATCTAAATTTTTTCCATATTTTTCTAATAAATATTTCTCATTTAAATCAACTTCATTTGATTCTTGAATATCTATTAAATCTCCTATTTCATTTTAATTCAATATTACATTTTAAAAGTTTATTGGCATATCTAATTAATCATTTATTACTTCATTTTTTTAAACTATTTTAATTATGTATGTTAAAGTTCCGTTGTTTTTTAAATTCTCAGTTTTAAATAAATTTATAGCCATAAATTATTTTAAATTTTATTTTTAATTTTATAATTCATCTATATTTTCTATTTACTTATTTTAATTATTTTCTGAATTTATTTATATTTTTTAATCATTTATTGGTTCTTTTTATTAATATTTTTTATATATATCATTATCATATATATATATATTTACAATTATTTTGATTATGAGATAAAATCTTATCCTCTTCTAATTAATTATTTTATAAAAATTAGTCATTTATATTTTTTTCAATAATACTATTTTTATTAATATTTTATTTTTAAATTCATTTATATATTTTACTTTTCTTAATTTATATTATTTTATATAATAAAAGATAGCTAAATTTAAGTTTTCTAGATTTGTGCATTTTTATTTTAAAAATCTTTTATATTTTAAGGGTGTAACAAATTAACAATAAAAGTTCCTGTATTTAATTTTTATTTTTAAATGCAATATGTGCATACCATCCTATTAGCTGTCAATATATTTTATTTTTTTTAATAAAATATATATATAAAATATTTTATATTTATAATTTTATCTTACATTTTATTTATAAAATAGTCTTATGAGAAAATAAATATTATTCTAACTAATATTAGATAAACTTTCCAAATATTTTTAGTTCATATTAATAGATATGTTATTGAAAATGTTTATAATATTTTAATTTTAATCATTTGTTTTAATATTTGAATTCACATCAATTTCTTTATTATCATAATCTTTAATAATTTAATTATCATTAATTAATTATAAAGTGTAGCTTAAATCATTTTTAAATTGAGCATTTAATAATTATTAAATAGAAACTTATATAAATTACTTTTATTTATTTTAATCTATGTTGTCTTATAAATTCATTTTAGTATCTTCCAAATCTCCTATTTAAGTTTATAAATTATTTTATTAATTTTCATTGATTTAATTATTAAACTCAGGTTTATTCTATTCCTTTTTAAATTTATTTTATCTTAAAAATTGATTAACATTTATTTTGTTTTATTCATTTTACAGTGATAAATCACTATTTTTTTCACTTTAAAATTATGAATTATCAATATTTTATTAATTTTAATCTTACTGAATATTATTTTATTAATTATTTTCACAAACCAAGTTATTTATAATTGGTTAGTTTAAATAAAGTTTTTATTAGTTTTATTAATTATTATTGTATTATTAAGTAGGTTATTATTATATTTATTAATTAACATTATTTTTAATTTTATATTTATTATAAGGTTATATTATATATTACTTATTTTATTATTGTTATTTTTAATTATTTAATGTATCTTATTCTAATTTTTAATTTAATTAATTATTTTATGATTAATTATTTAACTAATTATTACTGGTTTGTTAATTTTAATTAATTTTAGGGTTATTAAGATTTTTATTTTCAACTTATTGCATTGTAAAATTAATATCTTTTTCATCAACTATTTATTAGATATTTAAAAATTTTTTTTGATTTGCTAAATTAGGATTAAAATAAAGTTTATTTGAAACAGGATTTTTTAATTAAGAATCATCATTTTTATTTGACAAATCCGTTTTGTTATTTTCTTCCTTTTATGGGTTTTTATTAACTTAATCAATAGTATTTTATTATTTTAATTATTTAATGTTTTAAAGGCTTGGTTTATCAATTTTTTATTAGAAAGAATTATTGTTTAACAGTTATTGCTATTCAAGCATCTTTTTTTCTAAATCATTAACTTAAGAATCTTAAGTTTAAAATTTTTATTAAAAACCGGGATATTTTGGAAAGTATTTATTTTTATATACTTAGGGTTTATATTAATATTTAAAATTTTGTTATTTCTTTTTGCTCTCATATTCAAGTATATCTTTTTTAATATCCTTTATTTAGTAATTAGGTTAAAATCTTTATTTATCTGTAGAAATAGTTTCATTTGATTTAAAATTATTATTTAAGATTTCAGTTTAATTATTATTTAGTAAAAGTTGCTATTTAAGTTTTTCTTTTAAATTTTAATTTTCTAAATATAATTCATTTATTTTTTAATTTTATAATTTTTCCTTTTACAAAATTATCTAATTATTTTTTATTTTTTTACTAGAATAAGATTTATTCTTTAAAGGAGTTAATAAAGATAATTTATAATCTTTTTACAAATAATTACTAGATTGAGTAATATTTAATTTTGTTATATTTTCTTAACTTTTAGGATTCGTTTCTAATATATTAATGTCCATTACATTTAGTTTAGCCTAAATAGTTTCAATATACATATCTCCTAAAGATTTTCTTTTATTTAAATCAAAATCTAAAACCTCAGCTAGTTTTGAAATTCTTTAAATTTTATTTTCAAGAGGCTAAATAAGATTTACAACATTTTTTACACTTTATATTTTCTATTCATTATTTTCATCATTTTTATTAATTTCCCAATTAACTTTCTTTAATAGCACTTATTCAGAATTATCTAAACCTTTAATAACATTTTTAATTCCATATTGTTTATAATAATTTCCTATTAATTTTGCTGACTATTTATCTACAATAGATTTTAATTCTTTCAAATATTTATCTTCTTCAAATTAATCATCATATAAGTTTCTTCTATTATCTATTTTTTTTTTATTTATTAAAAAAAAAAATATATATAAAAAATTATTTACCAATTGAAGTTTTTGTTTCACTTTTTTTTTAAAGCATTTAAAATGTATTTTCAATTTTACTAGTAATTTTTTTAAGCGAAGTTTATAAATTTTATTATTTTTAAAGGTTTCGTAAACTTTTTAAATAGTTTTTCTTTTCTTCTAGTGATTATTAATTTAAAGTTTTTTAGACTTAATAGAAATCATTTTATATTTAGCTTTCTGAATAACTTTAATGTATTTACTTTCTATCATTTAATTATTGTTATAATAAATCAATTGTTATTATTTCTTTCTATTAGTTTTAAATTTTCATCATTTTGTCTATCTTTTTTAATTATAACTATTATATTAATTTTTATAAATCATTAACACTATTTCTATTTAAATTAGTTTTTTTATATTGATTCTTTTTTTTTTTTAAGTTTAATGTATTATTTATAAATTTATTTTTTACAATATCATTATCTTAATCTATAGTTTAATAAATAGCACTTTCTAAAAAAGACTAGATTTATATAAAAAATATTAAATTACATATTTGTTATATTAAATAAATTTATTTTATATAAGTTAATTTATACATTTCTATCGAATTCTTTAGATACATCAAAATTTTTGTTACCGTCCATCAAATAATTTATTTTTTATTATTAATAATAATATGTAAAATTTTATATAATAAATTTATACTAAAAATAAATAAAAAATAATTTTAAAAGTTGACATAAATTATAAAAAGAAAATATATATATATATTAAAATATTATAATTTGTACCATAAAATAAATATAAAATTAATTAAAATTAGTATAAAATTAATAATTTTTTATATTTTTTTTATAAAAATATAAATCTTAATTTCTTATCAATGCATAAGTGAATATTTATAATTTATATCAGTAATAATTTATTTTTCAACAGGATTAAGCCATTCACTTTTAAGAATCTTAAAATCATAAAAATAAATTATTATAAAATTAAATTATTATTAATAATAATACTTATGAAGTAGTAATTCTATTTTATTAATTTTAATTAAAGATTTATTAAAATAAATTTTTAACGCCTTAACTAAGATCATAAGGAAAATCATGTAATCCCTATTATATAGATTTTAATACTTCGTTTTCATTTTCTCCTTTAAAAGGGAATGTTCCACATAAAATTACGTATAATAAAACTCCAGAAGCCCATACATCTACAGCAAATCCTAAATATTATTTTTTTTCTAATATTTCAGATGACATATAATCTATTGAATATTACAATTTATGAAAAAAAAAAAAAAAAACTTAAAGATCCACAATATTAATTTAATTTTTCATAAGGTTTTGTTATTACAGAAAATCCAAAATCTATTAATTTAACATTGTTATTTTTATCGAGAAGAATATTATCAAGTTTAATATCACGATGTGCTATTTTATTTTAATGTAAATAATCCAATGCTTAAATAATTTATTTATAAATTCTCTTAGCTTCTCCTTCTAATATTTTTATATTTTTTTTATAATTCGCATGATTTAGCACTTTCAAATGATAATGAAGGGAGTTTAAACCAATATATTCCATTATAATATTAGTCTATTCATTTATTTTATTAATAAAAAAATATATAAAAATATTATATTTTTTTACATTTTAATTAGTTTCAATAACTTTTATTAATTTTATAATATTTTAATGGTTTATTTTTTAAGTATTTCTATTTCTCTTTCTAAATTTTATTTTTAAAATTTATCATTTAATTTGTATTTAGGATATATTTTTATTGCTACTTAGCTATTTTTATTATTTTAATCTACACCTAAACGGACTATAGCTTAACTGCCTAATCCTATAGTTTATTTAATTATATATTATTCTAGTAAATTATTTTAACTATGATTTTTTATTCAAATTTTTAAGATTAATAATTTATTTCTAATTACCTTCTGCTTATATTTTAGCTATCTAATATTTAAATAGGTTTATATTAAGTTTATTTTATAATTTAGTTTTAAGACTTAAAGCTTTTCAATATTTTATATTTCTATTTAATTTGTTTATTATTCTTAAAGTGGATATTAAAAAAAGTTATCTTTATTAAAGTTATTAATAATTAAATTATTTTATTTTTCTATTTAAGTATTTTATTCTTAGATTCCTAAATAGATTTCTATATAAAAATTAATTATAGAAAAAAAATAAAAATAAAAATAAAAATAATTATAAAAATATTAATAATAATAATTTAACATTTATTATATTAATAAATAAATATTATAAAAAAAATAACTATACTTAATATTTATTTTAATAATCTATTTATTAATAACATTAATTTTCTTTGTTTATTTCAATTTTGTTTTTAATAAATAAGTCTTAATTATTTTGATTTTATGTCTAAATCATGTTATGAGAGCTATAATTTTGTTTTAAAATTTAAGGTAGTTTTAATAAATTTTAATATTGATCTTATTTTTTTTTACAAATAATATCATAATTAAAAGATTAATAAATTATATGGATAAATATAAAATTATGTTACTTATATGTTTTTGTGAGGCTGATTTATTAAATTAGATTTCTTTCAATTTATTTTTTTCAGTTTCTATATCTTCTTCATAATTCGTTTTTAGTAAAGATGGAGACTTACATAATATTTTGTTTTCAATTTAATCTATTGATTTTAATTTTATTTTAAAAGAATAGTTTTTATATTACTAATTAAAATTAGTATTAAAATTATAATAAGATACTTTATTCATATTAAGAATTTTTATATTAATTTATTGCAGCAATATTTAATTTATTTTACATTTTTATGTATTTAGTTAGATTAATTGTTAAAATAATAATATGTTAACAAATATTTGAAAATAAAATAAAATTAATAAATGAATTTATATTTAATAATTTATCTTAACTATAAACTTAAGATTTTTATATTTTAGTAATTTATATTTTAATTATATTTAATTTATTTTTATATAATTTTTAAATATTATTTTTAAAATTAATAATATTATCCATTTTTATATTAAATAATGTTTTCATAATAAATAATATTCTTTCTTTATATAATATACATAATTTATTTTAAATGAAAAATTTAAATTTTTTTAAAAAGAAAAAAAATAATAAATTCTTTATATCTTCTTTCAAAATAATTTTTGGCAAATTATTGTTAAAAACCTCTTTGTATTATTTTTTTTTGTAATTATTTATTTATAATATTATAAATAGAATAAATTATTTATTTCAAAATATAATTTAAATTTATTTATTTTTTTAAGTTAAAATTTAACTTTGAAAAAAAAATAATAATAAAAAAAAAAAAATTTACATAAAAAAAATAATTTTTTATATTTTTTTTTTAAATATTAATGAAAATTACAATAAATATTTATTTAAATATATTATTTATTATTAAAAATTTTATATTTTATTTCATATATCCTAAAAATAAATAAAAATAAATTTTAGATATTTTTTAAAACTATATAAAATAAATATATATATAGTACGTTTCATGGTCATTTTATAATGTAATAATTTATATAATATATATAAAAAAATTAATTATATTTATATTCTAAATATTAATTTATGTAATACTCAATTATAAATTATTTTAATATGGATAAAGATATACCTTTTATATTATAATATTTTGAAAAGATTCTAAGATAAAAATAAAAAAAATTTAAAAAATAAAAAAAAATAAAAATAAAAATATTAAATTATATTAAATAAAATATTTTTATATTAATATATAAAATTATTTTAGGATAATGAGATAACATTGTAAAAATTATTTACTTAAATGATTTCAAAAAATGTATAAAATAAAAATGTGATAAAAGAATAAAAGAATAAAATAATTTATATTTAAAAAATAATTATAAAAAATTTCAGAAAAAAAAATATAAATAAATAAAAATCTATATAAATGTATATATATATATACATCTAAATATATATATACATATATATATATATTTTTATATATATAAATATATATTTTTTATAAATGAATAAATATATATATTTTTAAATATTTAATTATATTTATTTTATATTTATATTTATTTTATATTTATATTTATATTTATATGTTATTTAAACAATATTTTTACAAATAAATATATTTAATCAAAGATTTCACAAAAAAAAAATCTAATTTGAAATTATTTATTTAGAATAATATTTATCTTCTATATTTAAATTTTATAAATTATTTTCTGTATTATAATTATTATTACTAATATATTAATTATTTTGATTTTTTTATTTAGAAAAGCTGTTACGTCTATAATTTTAAAGTTTATTTCTATAATTTTTTTAACAAGAAATTTTGTTTTCAAGGTTATATATATATTCTTTGTCATAATGATTTTAATATTTTTTATTAACTTTAACTAATTAAATAATAGTTTTTTCATAAAAATTGTTATATTTTATATTCTATTCATCCATTTCAACTTTCCATTAGTATATTTTCTTTATAAAAGCGTTATCTTATTCGCCTTAAAATTATCTATTTTTAGGAAAATTAACATTTATATTAATTATTTTATATGGACTTAAATCAAAATCTTTGTAATCTTAACAATTTAATATACTATCTAAAAAGCCTGTTCCTAATTTTATAGTTTAATAATTTTATTAATCTTCAACTGATTATTAATCTTATTAATTATATACTTATTACTATATTTGATATGTTTCTAATGATTTTTTAATTTATTTTTCTTATTAAAATAATGAATTTTATTTTTTTAATATTTAATTATGAATTTAAGTTATTTAGGTAGAATTTAATTTTTAAAAATTTTCCTTTTTATTTAGTAATAATTAATCAATATTATTGTAATTTATATTTTATAGATTCATTTCATTTATATCAAATTGTTCTGTATTTTATATTTTTGCCTGATAATCAACAAGTTTAGATAATTATTATTTAAATCGTTCATATTAGTAGTCATCTTAATTTTTTTTTATATTTTCTAAGTTATCTTTTTATATTATTATTTTTTAATTTAAATGAGAATTATTTAATTTTTAAAATTATTAATAGTCATAAAAATCTTCATCATATTTTTATTTTAATTATTCATATCCTTTTTCTATACCGATTTCTTCAAATATATCTTCATCTTCTTACAATTCTTCTTCTGCTATTTCTTTTTGTTCTTCTTCTTAGTCATCTACTTCTTCTTCATTTTCTTTTTCATCTGCTTCTTTTTATCCTTGTTCTTCTTCATATTATTATTCTTCTTCATATTATTATTCTTCTTCATATTATTATTATTATTATTAATATTATTATTATTATTATTATTATTATTATTATTATTATATAAGTTTTGCATTATTTTTTTTATTCTTGTATGTTTATTAATTTTTTTTTTATTTTATTTATAAATTTATGTAATCATTATTTTTTTATATATCTTTAACCTTTTTTTTTTTATAAATAGGTTATTATTATTGTCCATATTCTTATAAATTTATATTATACATATCATCAATAATAATAAATTTTTTTATTACTATAATATTTCTTTTTACTGTTTTTAATCATCTGTTTATTATTCTGACATTTATATATTTTGATTGTTAGTATCTTTATACATTGAAATATCATATTCATCATAACTATCATCTTTTCAGAATTATTATTGTTAATTATTATTTTATATTTACCATTTAGGTTTTTATTATTATTTTTTAGTATTTTTAGTTTTGTTTTTTAGTTTTTTTAATTTCTTTTTACTATGTTTTTTGTTATGTTTATTATATTATAATTTCAGGAAATTTTTCTTTTTATTAAAATTTTTATAAAGGTTCTTCTTTTTCTTAAACTTTAAAATCAGTTTTTATTATTTCTTAATTTTATTATAAGGAACTTTATTCTGATGATTAACTTTCTTTATATTATTAGTAAAACCCGTTTTCAATGTTAATTTATTCTATAGTTTTTTAATAAATATCTTCAAATATTTTATCTTTTTATTTTAAAAAATTTTAAGATATGAAATCTAAATTTTAAATTTAATTTTAATCAAAAGCATAAAAATCATTAAAATTTTAATTTTATGGTTCTATCCCTTTTCTAATACAGATTTTGAAAGATTTTTTTTCTAAATTAATAATAAGTTATTCCTAAAATTTTTTCATAATCTTAACTTTTTCATCATAATTATAATTATTTTATTATAAATAATCTTTAAACTTCATCAAAAGTAAATCTTAAAATCTAGAATTATTTTAAATGGTTTTATTATTGTTTTTGTTTTCGTTATTCTATCTATTTATAATTTTTACACAAAATTTATTTCCTTTCTATTAAAATTATTATAATAATAATTAATAATTCTTCTATTATTATTCATTTAATTCATTAAATTCTTCATGAGATAATTCTTAAAATTAATGTTAATTAATTTAATAATAAATTCTATATTTCCAATCTTTAGTTTTATCCTATTCTTTAAAACTTTATTTCTAATTCCTGTTTTTTTTAAATAAATAATCTATTTACGGAAGTTGATCTTTTTTATCTCTGGAAACACAACTTTAATATTTTTATTATGAAATATCACCAAATTAAAGTTACTATTATTACATGCTTAATGTATTTTCCTTTTATTAATTATTTATACTATTATATACCTAATTCAATTCTTTATAGCATTTATCATATGATTTATATTAATTATGTTAACTTTTATCATTCAATATTTTCAAAAATTAATTTACCTTATTCCCGAATTATTAAATTAAATTTCTTTTTTAATTTTATTATATGGGATCATCTTTATTATTTATACTTTAACTTTTCATATTATTATATGTACTTGTCATTTTTTACCTCAATTATTAATAGTCTTTTAAGTTATATATACTTTATCTATCATAAAAAGTCTTACTTTTTGTAAATTTAAATGTATTATCTTATGCTTATAGATTCGATTATATTTAATTCAGATTTTACAAAGATGGATTTCGCATATATTTTTATTCAGAATCTAATTATTAATGAGATAATTTTGATTTAAAATTTAAATTAATCAAAGAATTTGTTTTTTATTATAAAAATATTTTTTTGTATTTATTTTATTTTATGTTTTGGACAATTAGATTATTGGAAAAATTTGGATTTTAATTTATTATAGAATATTTATTTTTATTATTCATTTTATTTTTATTTTTATTATTATATTTGATTTTATTTTTCTATTATAGGATAAATTATAGATTATTTTAATACTTATTAAAAAAATTAAAATTATAATAATTTAAAAAATATTATTATATTATCTATCTAAAAACCATTATTTATTTTTAATTTATAACTATTTTTTTCATTTTCGTTATTTATTTTTTATATAAATTTTCATAAAGCGATATCTTATTTTCCAATTTCTTAAAATAATCCAAATTAAATAAGTTTAATTTAGTAGTATATATTTTAAATATTTTTTTTTATAAATAATTATAATTTTTTTAATTTAATATTTTTTAAATTTATTAATTATAAGAAATTTTATATTAATGATATATAAAAATTAATATATATTTAGTTTTTTTATAAAATTATTTTTATATAATTAATAATATTTTAATCTAACAAATGTATTCAATATTCATTACTTTTTTGTTTTTACTACATTTTATTTTTTAGCAATAACTTAAGTCTGTTTTGCTTTAAGCAAAATATTATTAGTTTTCAAGCTTTGAGCAATAATTGGTTTACTTACACTTACTTTAATATTTGTTTTTGATCTGATAGGTTTTTATTAAACTTTTGCTTATTTCAATTAAAATTATTATAATTATTATGTAGCTTGTTAACTATTTAAATGATGAGAATTATTTCTATCAATAATTTTTATATTTACATCTTTAATTGAAAGATCTTAGCCTTAATTATTTAAAGAATTTTCTTACTTAAGTTAAATTTAGAATTTATGAATAGAACAATTAGTTGCATTATTATTTAAATTGGGTTCTTTATTTTCCTAAAATAACCCAATGCAATTATAAACTTCCATAATAAATCCTCCATGAGAAACTCCAATAATTTTTGCATTTTCTTTATTTTTTAAATGATTATTTATTAATAAAGTTAGAAATTTCTCAGCTCGTAATAAAACATCATTCCAATTTTCCCCATCTTACCCTTTAAATTGTCTTATAGGAACTTTATTTTTCTCTGCTTATTATCTAAAATACGCTAACGACTTTCCTTCAAAAACACCCCCACCTTTTTCTCGCATTAAACTAGAATAAGTAACTTATTTAATTTCTTTACTATAGTTCATTTATTTGCTTATTACCTCGTATGTTTCTTTTGTTCTGCCTAAATCAGATACATATGAATAATCAAATTTTTCATTTTTTAAAAATTCTCCTGTTATCATTGCTTGCTTAATACCTAATTCAGTCAGTTTTCCAGGAGTATGACCTGCTAATGTTTAAGTTATATTATCTTCAGTTTGTCCGTGTCTTATGAGCCAAAGTTCAATCATTTATATTTTCTTATATATATGTATTTTTTATAAATGTATATTTATACTTTAAATTATTATTTATTTATTTTAAATTAAATTAATTTTTTTTAAAAAATATTATATATATAATTTTATTCATTATAATATTTCCTACTTTTCTTATTTTAAATTTTTTATGATTTTCAAATTTTTATATAATTTTTAATTTTTTTTTTAAATTATGTTTTGCTTTAGCTTATTATAAATGTACGAAATAAAAATAAATAAATTAATATTTAAAAAATATATAATACTATAATTTTATCTGAAAAATTATATATTAGTTTATACTGTAAAAAATAATATATATTAAAATTTTATCTTTATTTTAATTTTAGTTAGACACAAATTACTATCAAAAATTATATAAATAAATAAATCCTTATAAGATATTAAAATTCATGCAGTTATATTTTTTTTATTTTAGATATATAATACATATAATATAAATATAATTTTATTTAATTAAAACAAATTAATAATTTAGAATTTGCATTATTATAAAATATTTTTTTAAAAAAATCTTATTTAATCGAAAAAAAATATAAAAAAAATGAAAACCCTAATTTTTTTTTATTATAAAATTTTTTAATATTAAAAATAAATAAAAAACCGACAAATAAAATAAAATAAAATAAAAGTTCTTATCAGAAACATTTTCTGTGAACAATAGAAGGACCAGCTTCTTCGTATTCAGCTTTAGTAATCCACATAGTTTAGAAAGTGGATAAAGAAGATAAAATAGAACCACCAATCCAGACAGAATATTTTCTCTCAGGGGGTGCAACAACTTTAATTTTCATAGAAGAAGGTGCTAAAGCACTAATTTCTTTAGAAAGTCTTTCAGCAATACCAGGGAACATAGTAGTACCACCAGAAAGTACGACATTATTATAGAGATCTTTTCTGACATCAACATCACACTTCATGATAGAGTTGAAACTCAATTCATGGATACCAGGAAATTCTTTACCAATAAGAGCTGGCTTGAACAATAATTCAGGGCATCTAATTCTTTAGTTTTATACAGTAATAATATTACCATCAGGTAATTCATAAGGTTTATCATTTTAAGAAGTATTTTCATAACTTTTCATTTCCTAATCGAAATCAAGAGAGACATAAGCTAATTTTTCTTTGATATCTCTAATGATTTCTTTTTCAGCAGAAGATGAGAAATTAAGTCCAATTTCGTATAAAAGTTTCATCATATAATCAGTTAAGTCTCTTCCAGCCAAATCAATTCTTAAAATAGCATGAGGAAGAGCATAACCTTCATAAATAGGGACTGTATGAGTTACACCATCTCCAGAATCAACTACAATACCAGTAGTTCTACCTGATGCATATAAAGAAAGCACTGCTTAGATAGCAACGTAAAAAGCGGGTACGTTAAATGTCTCAAACATTGTTTTAGTCATCTTTTCACGATTCAATTTAGGATTTTAAGGAGCTTCAGTTAATAAACAAGGGTGTTCTTCAGGAGCAACACGAAGTTCATTAAAGAAACAATGATGCCATATTTTTTCCATATCATCATAGTCTGTTACTATACCATGCTCTATAGGATATTTTAAGTTTAAAACACCTCTTTTGGCTTGGGCTTCGTCTCCAATATAGCATTCTTTTTGGTCCATTCCAACCATAATACCGGGCATTTTTGGTCTTCCTACTATTGCAGGGAATGATGCTCTTGGGGCGTCATCTCCAGCTATTCCTGCTTTACACATACCAGATCCATTATCAATTACAACTGCGGGTGAGTCTCCGTCTGCCATTTTTTTTTATTTATTTAATTTTTTTGTTTTATATTTATTTTATTAAATTAAATATTTTTTTTTTTTATATATCAATTATTTTATGATATATTTTTTTATTTATTCCTTTTTACCTTTATTTTTTATTTTTAACTTTTATGTTTTTTTTTTTTTAATTTCTTGTTTTTGTGGGTAGATTTTATATTTAATAAATTATAATAAAAGAATTAATTATCTTAAATAACTATTATTAACTTTAATTTTTTATATTTAACAAATAAAGGAAAAAAATAATTTAAAAATCTTACCTTAAAATATATAGTTTAAGGCAAATATTTTTATTTTATTATTTCAAATATTTATTAAATTTACTTATATATAATTAAAAATAAAAAATTAATATATATTTAAATTTTAATAAGGTTAGCTTAATTTATAATATATTTATTTGAAAGTTTTTCTTTATTATTTAAATTTGAATAAAAAAAATATTCGGATAATACAAAAGTCAATGTTAATTATTTTTTATCAGATTTTTAAATATATTTTATAATTTAATACAATTGAAAATTAAAATTATTAATTTGTTATATTAAAATTTATAATATAAATAAATATTAAAATATATTAAATATTATTTGTAATATATATAACATCTATTTATTTGTTTTTTATCTTTTATAATAAAAAAATAAAAAATTAAGCATATTTATTCAAAGCTTATTTAATTAAAATAAAAAATATTTCAAATCATATTGAATATATATTATATGTATATATGATTTATATTCTTAATAATAAAACTAAATCTCTACAAAAATATGAAAAATAATAGTTGAAGCACATTGTATAAAAATATAAAAACTTTGAATATAACTTTATTAACTATTAACTATAAAAATATAACTAGTAATAAATAATCTAAATATCATACTATTTTTTTTCTAATTTGTATCCAAATATATATAATCTATTTAAAAGTATTTATTATTAAGAATGGATTTTCATATATATAAAATAAGAATATTTATAATAATTAATTTTATTATAAAATTTTTTAAAATTAAATAAATTTAAAATTAGTATCAATTGGAAAAAATTACTATTAATATTTATAAAATAATAAAAGTTTTAATTATTTATAAATATATTTTTTTTTATCACATGTATATGTTAAAATCCTTTAAGTAAATTTTATTTTTTTCAGTACAAAGGATTGCATTGACCAAAACACAAAGTACAGACATTATTTCTAAACTAAAAAACATTTTCAATATTAATAATAGAGTTAGATTAATCTTATTTTAGATAAGAATGTAAATTAATCATAAAGCATTTACAATTTTTACATTTAAGCATAGGTTCATTTGTAATTACAAGATGCGTAATAATACATTTGATTTAAACTCCATTTAAAATATTATTTTCATAATCCAAAAATTCGTTTTTAATTTAATCTTTATTTACTTCAGAGGATATTCTTTTGAAAATAGAAGAATTGGGATATTAGGTTTATAATTTAAGAAACATTTTTTAAAAGTTTCTTAAAAAATTTTATTTTATAAAGTTTAAAAATATGATTTAAGTTAATTTTTTTATAAGCAAGTTAAAAAAAGTAGAATTTTTTCATTTAAAAGCAATAATTTATAACTTTAAATATTTAAAGAATCAACAAATTAATCAAATTCATCAATATAAGATTTGTTTAATTTAAATTTTTAAATAGCATTATTTTTTCTTATATCATAAGGGAAATTTTTAATGTTTCAGTAAAAAAATTCGGTTTTTTTAAAAAGAAAAATAAACAGTCATCAAAGTTAAAAGGAAATAAACTTTAATAATTACCTTAGTTATCATCTATAATATATTTTTCAAAATTTAAAATTATATTTTTTAAAAAATGATAGCAATTAAATTCTTAATAATTCATAAATAATATATTTGACATTTATTAAGATGTAAATGAATGTGCACCACAAATAATATAAAAACAATTATTAATAGATTAAATTATTGAAAATGGACAGTAAATTTTATTAGAAAAATTAAATATTTGTTAATTTTGTAATATTTAATATTCAGATTTTTCATTAAAAAGTATAACATTATCTTATTCTTCTTAAAAGTATGATAATATTTTACTTAATAAATTATTAAACGTACTAATTTTTTAAATTAAATTTCCTGATTCTATATCAATTTTAAAAAGAAATTAATTATGAGATAAATAAAGATAATTATTATTATTATTATTATTATTATTATTATTATTATTATTATTATTATTGTTATTTTAATTATTATTTGGTAAAAAAATAAAATCACAAAATTAAAAGTTTAATTAAATTATATTAAAATTTAATATTTTTTAATATTATAAGTCAAAATTAGTTTTAATTATTAATAAATTCATTTCACTTAATATAAAAAGTATTATTTAATAATCTTTTTTTTTGATTTAAGTTTGTATTTATTTGCTAATCTATTGCTTAATATTTATTTTATCAATAAATCTTTATTAGAAATAATATTTATAAATATAAATATATATATATAATTATATATATTTTTATATTTTTTAATAATATTGTTATTATATATATAAATATATCTAATTATTTTTATTATATTTTTTATTTTATTATTATTTTGAAATACATTCTATTTATTTTATCTGAATATTTTACGAAACTTATAAATCCATCAAAAGAATGAATTATTAAAAATTGAAAATAATTTTCTTATGTAAATATTGGTTCACTCCATTCATAAGAAATTATTTAAGAATTATAATCTTATTAAAATAAAAGTTAATTTATGCTTTCAATCTTTTTATTTATATTTTGTATATATTTATTATTTTATATTTTCATATTATTACTATTTCATACTGAAAAATTCTATCTAACTAACCTTGATTTTATTATATATTATAGGCATCACCATTATTTAATAATATAGTTATAATAGGTTAATTAGTTTAACCTAATGGATATTTAGATATTCGTATCATTTTTATTTTTAATTAAAAAATGTCATTATTAACATTAATTAATCTTTATTTTATAAATTATGGATTTAAAATGTTTAGTTTATCATTTTTTAGTACAAATTTTACGAAATCCTCCTAACTTATTTCATCATTATAAACTCTAGTAAACTCATCTTAATAATGATGATTAACTCCTTAATCATTTTAAAGCCTATTTTAATATTTATATAATTTTTAAATATAAATAGTAGAGTTTATTAATAAATATCAAGTATTTATTTATAATTTTTTTTTATTAGTTTATTATATATAAGATTTCTTACAATTTCGAAAAGTGGACAACATTTTTTAAAATGCATTTATTTAATGCTATTTTCTGATTGATATAATATATAATTTATCTTCTAAAGCTATATACAATTAATTATTTATATCTATTTGCATGTTTTACTTAAACAAACATTTTTCTTTAAAAATTTCGAATTCTTTTGATAAATCATAAATAATTTCATTATTAATATTCATTTATATTACTAGTTTTATATAAAATTATATATTTTTTTTTTTTAATAAAATATTATTTTTATTTCTTAATGTTTTTTTTTTTTTTTAATTTCATAAAAATATATTTTAATTTATTCTTTTTTTTTAATTTCACAATTTATTTGTAAATAATATTTATTAATGAAGTTCATTTTTTTTAATATTTTTTTTTAATTCAACTTGTTTTGTTTTCTCATTATTTAATTTCTCTATATCATTTTATTTTTCTCTAATTTCTTTATCATCATCTTTGTATTTAATTATATCGCTTAATCCTTTTCCAACCCCTTAACTAATATCAAATATTTCATTAACTATATAATCTAAGCTTTATTAATCACTCAATTTTGCTTAAGGTAAATAATGATATTAACTTTATCTTAAATTACTCCCAGTATAATCTTTAGATTAACAATTTATATATAATAAAATTTATAAAAGAAGAATTTGAAAAAAAAACATTTTTTTATTTTTTATCTAATATTTTTTTTTTATTATTAATTATAAACGTATAGAATCAAATAAATTAGAAAAAAAAACAAGTAAAATCAAAACAAAAATAAATAAATAATAAAATATGAAAAAAATAATTAAACCTTTAATTTTGATAATTAAATAATAAAATTAATTTTCATATAAATATTTTGTTTTTTTATTTAATAGAAGAAACCTTTGAAAAAATAAAGTCTTTTTTTAAAAAATATTAAAAATAAATCTATTTTTTATTTGATTATAAAAATGAATAAAAATATAAAGTAACAAAAAAAAATATCATTTTAAATCAATAGTTATTGTTTTAAGGAAAGACTCTAAATGTTAACTTTAATATCTTAAAAATTCAATTTCTTATTTTCTTTTTTAATCATCAATTTCTTTTCTTTCTTTATTTTTCTTTTCGATAGCTTCTTTTTTATTAATTAATTCTTATCTCTAATATTTTTTTTTAAAAAAAAATAAAATAAAAATTAAATATATTATTTATTTATTTTTAAATAAAAATTACTCTTTCTTCTAGTTTAGATTTTCTAGATTCTAATTCCAATATTTTTTATTCAGTATCAGCTTTTCCTTATTCAGACTACAATTATTTTCTCATTCCAAAAGTTACAGAAGATTAATATAAAGTTTAATAAGCAGCAATAGTCATTTTTAATTCATCTCTAACTCTAAGTAATAAAATTCCTTTTAATAAAAATATTATTTTAAATTTTTTTATTCATATAATATAACAAAAAACCTCTTTCAGGACAATCAATAGTAACTTATCTAATAATTTCATCAAAACATTAACTATGTAATTCTTCTCTAATAGGACATATTCCTGAATCTCTTGCTTATCTAGCTAATAATCTTTCATCTAGAAGTTTTTGTAAATTCGCCACATCTTCTCTTGATGCAGGAGCATGAGATACATATTAAATATAATGAGTTCCATCATGATCCCATTCTCTTGGAGGAAGAATTGCGTTTAAAATATCTTCAGTTGATGGCTTTGATTCTAATGGAGGTAATTGAGTTTTTTTTTTGTTTCCTAAATTTTAAATTCTTGCTAAATCACTGTTATTGTTTATTTCTATTGCTGGTTCATATTATACTAATGATTCTCTTGGGACTTATGCAGACATTTCTAATTTTTTGTTTTTTATTTTAATTTTTTTTTTTCTAAATTAATTATATATAATTAAAAAAATTTAATTTTTTGTTTTTACACTTTATTTGTTTGTTTCTTTTTTTGATTTTTATTCTTTATATAATTTATTATTATACTTATATTTATAATTTTTAAACAGTTTTTTTTTTTTTTTATATGTATATATATATAGAAAAATTAAATATTAATTTATTCATTTTTATTAAAAAATAAATTTTTAAATATTATTAAATAAAAATTATTTTAACTTTTTTTATTATATTAGTATTAATTTAATATATTTTTATTTATTTCATTTAAATTATTAAAAAAAAATATTTATTTATTTTAATAGATTTTAATTATAATTTCTTGAATATATTTATAAATTTTAAACGTTCAATTTTTGTGTTAAAAAATAAAAAAATGAATTTATTTTCTTCAAATTATCAATTTAAAAAGCCTATTTTATAATAAGATTTATTAAATAATTTAACATAAAATTTCTAAAAAAAGTTTCCTTGTATCCATTAATAGATAAAAGTTAGTAAAGATTTAATAAACTGTTCAAAATGTGGTGTTTATCTTAATGTAATTTATAAAAAATTATTCAAATAAAAAAATACTTATTTTTTCATTTTTTTTTATAAAAAATAAATAAATAGGAAAATTGTAAATCATATAAAACCCCTTAATTTAATTATAATATCACTACTAATCCACAAAAGCAGTACACAAAATTAATCAATTAACAATTATAAGGTATAAAAATAAGCTTAGATTCAATATATTATAAAGTAAAGATAATAAAATTAATTCAAATATATATAATATGTATATATATATATATATATATATATATATATATATATATTACTTAACTATAATCAATAAATAAAAGCATAGAGGTTAATTAATATAATATATTTTTCAAACAGCTGAAAATCTTAAAATAACATTAAATACAATCCATTTAGCAATAATTTATTTAGATATGACAGTATCGAATTGGCAAAAAATAACTACTTATTAGCAATTCTAGATATATGCAGCAACTAGTTTAATGTTAGCTGCAAAAGCAACAGAATTAGATATGAAAATTCCTTTTATTTCAAAGTTAAAAAAATATTCTGGACTTCATAATATATAAATCGATGAATTTAAATAAGCTGAATAATGTATTTTAAAATAATTTAATTGGATCTTATAAAGAAGTACAAATCTAGATGTATTAGATTATTATTTAAGTTAAGGAATAATTTTTTCTACTGATTAAATAATATTTGAAAATAATAGTTTAGAAACAGATAATTAGAATCAAAATTTGAAATAATAAAACAATCAAAATTATATTTTTTAGCAAAAGAATATCAATACTGTATATAAATATAATGAAAATAATTTTAAATCTGACTTTATTGAATTTGTGAAAAAAGTTTATATTTAAGAAAAAGAAAATAATACTTCTCAAATTCAAACTATTAAATATAATTAAATTAACTAATTATCAGAAAATAGAATATATGATTTAGTGAATAAAATAGAAGCTTAGTATATTCATTTAGCCAATATATTAATTAAAGGTAATAATGTATATATATAAATAAGTATTATATTATTATTAAAATAAAAAATAGATCATACTTTTCATTCGTTTGATTTAAAAATACTTTCAGGGGCATGTATAGCTTTTTTAAGAAATATAAATGGAATAAAACCTTCATGGAATTATAATTTATCAAAAATAAGTAATTTTTAAGTAAATGAAAATAATATTGAAAATTGTTTATAAATAATTTAATATAAATTTAGTATTAGTACGAATTCTTATAATTATATACAAAATCAATAACTAAAATTAGAAAATATAGAACTTAAATATTAAAAAAACTAAAATATAAAATTAAATACAGAAATCAGTAATAATATGGAAACTAGCATAAAAAGTTCAAATTATTATTAAAAAAATGAAAATTGTATATATTTATTTGATAAAATTGGTAATAAAAATTAAACTCAAAATTTAATGGGCAACTATATTTCTTTTAAAGATAATATAAATATTTAAAATAAAGAAGATTATTATAATATATATTTAAATAAAAGTAAATGATAAATGAAAAAAAAATATTTAATTAATAAATTAAAAAAAAAAATTAAAAAAAAAAAAAAAATTAAATATAAATTATAAATTATTTTAAATAATATATATATATATATATATATATATATTATATATATATCTTTTTAAATATATTAATAATTTTTTTTATTTTATAAAATACTATAAATTCTTTTTTTTTTTTATTCATTCTATATTATATATAAACTTAGTTTAATAAAAATAATATTCTTTTTATAATTATTTTTTTCAATCATTTTACTCTTATTTAATTTAATTTAAATCTCTATCTAAATTTTATCCTAATATTTTTATTCTTTTTTAAAATTATTGTATAAAATATCTTCTTTCATTTTTATTTTTTTCTAACCTAATTTTTTTAATTTTATTTTTTTATTTTAAAAAAAAATTAATATTAATATATATTAAACTCATTATATATTTATTCAGCATTATCTATATTATTATTATTTTCATAATTATCCTCAATTTAATAATTTTGTGATTTATTATTTTTGTTATAATCATTAGTTTAGCTGTTTTAATCCAAATACTTCTCATTCTAATTTTCATAAATATTACTTTTATTTTGGTCAATTTATTAAATTTTATTATATTAACTGTCATTCATTTAGAATAATGATTATTGTTATTAAGTATTTTAATTATTATCTTCATTTTAACTTACTTAAGAGTTATAATTTTTATTATATAAGAGTTAATTTAAGTATTCTTTTTAATTTTCTTAAAAAATTAATTAATTATAAAATAAAAATTTAAAAATAATACTTTTTTCAATAAACTATCTTAAGAACTTACTTTATGTAATTGACTTTCGATTTTGTTTATATTACAGAAACTTTAGTCAAGCTTTTCCATTCTTCTGAGAAGATTTTATTTTTAGATATTTAATTAATCTTACAATTCATTATATTATTATCCTTTTATGATAAATTATATATATATATATATATATATATATATATATATATATATAATATTATTTTTATTAAAAAATTAAAAAATACTTTATAAATCTAATTAATGTTCATTAACTAAATAAGTATTATCTTGTATTAAATCAAAATTAAAATTTTGTTATTTTAAAACACCTCCTGCTTTTAGCTCTTTTATTTATTGTAAGAAATTCTGATTGTTCTCAATATATTCTTGTATTTATTTATTTTTATTTTATATAATTTAATTAAATTCATTAATTTTTTCATCATAAAGAATATTTGTTTCTTTTACCAAATCTAAGCTTTCTTATAATTATTATCTTAATTTTTCTTTTTCAATTTCATGATTTTATATTTAAAATTATAATTCTTAAATCTTAAAAAAAAATATTATATATAAAAATAGTTAAATGACAAAAAATAATAATAAAAAAAAATTAAATACATAAATAGATTATTATTTAATTTTATTTTTAAACTCGTTTCCCATTAAAATTGAATTTTGTAGTTTTTTTTCGTTTTCTTTAAATAAACTACTATATTATTAATTTTTATTTAATAATTATTATTCGACTTCATTAACTGTATTTTACTTAACTTAATTTATGAATAAATATTAAAAATAAAAAAAAAAGAATAAAAATATTATATATAATTTATTACATTCAATATCATTTTATAATTCTTAAATTTTCTTTTATAATTGAATATTTTTTTCTTAATAATCGTTTATTATTTATTCATTTTATTCTAAATTTTATAATAATTCTATATTTTATTATTATGACTATTGTTTAAAATAAATTATTTAATCATTAAGTTAATTTTTTTCATCTACTAAATTTTATTTTTATTTTTCTAATTATTTTTATTAATATTAGTTTTAAATAATTATTTTATTTTATTCTTCAACTTATTATTACAAAATGATATTTTCTTATTTAACTTTTTATAAAATTTATTAAATTTCATCATTTTCAGCATTATGTCTATATATAATTTACTCAGTATTACTAATACTAATTTATTATATTTTCAACTCCTATTAAAGCTTTTAATGCAAAAATCTTTAACTAAAGAATTTTTCTTTTAATAATTCTGAAATAAAAACTCTATAAAACTTAAAAGTTTTCATTTTTTGAAAATTGGAAATAAGATTTTTAATTTTTTTACTAAATCTATAAAACTTGTTAAACTTTTCAAACAATTTTTTTTTTTTTTATAATAATTTATCACTCTAAAATTTAATTAAATCATTTTTACGTTATCTATATTTCTTTTTATTTTAAACAAAATCAAAAAATGTATAAAAATAGTTTTTCTATAATATAGATTCTATTTTCTTTTCAAATTGTTTTCTTTAGATTCTTAAAAAACTTAATTTTTCCCAATTAAAAAAACACTATTAATAAAAATTTGATATCATTTTATTTTATATAAGCTAACAATTTTATTTTATTGTTTTTTTATAATTATAATAATTTTTTAAACCTTAAAAATATTTAAATTGCTTTTTTTTCTTTTAATAATTTAAACATTTTAATTAACTTTTTTTGTTTAAAATCACTTATTTATAATTAACTCTCCATAAATTAAACTATTTTTTTATCACTTAAAACTAAAACTCTATTTAAAGGCTCATTCTAGATTATTTAAATTATTAATAATAGGTTTTTAATTTATTAAATATTTAATGTTTTTTTTTCTTATAGAAAATTATAAAAACTTTTTGGCTTTTTAATACTTAATTCTCATTTTTTACCTATTTTATAATAGTTACATAAAAACTTATTATTTTTTTAATAAATTTATTTTTTTCAAAACTAAATTGAATTTATTTCTTTATGGTAAAACTATATTTTAAATATAAAAATTCCAATGTTTAAAGTATTTATATCTAGTTTTAGCATAGAAATTCTTTAGGCTGATATTCATTAATTTTTTTTCTTT